AAATATTCCTCTCGCCAGAGTAGCAGTCTTCAACAGAACTGGGCTTTCTGTTTTTTCCCCCCTCTTCTTTATTCCATCTGCCAGGAGAAAGTCTCATCAGTGAGCAGAATCTCTTTCTAGGCAGCCACAAGGAGTAATAAGGAACAATGGACTCACTCTTCTTTGGTTTCATCTGAAAAGAGCAATGAAAGTATCTGCTCTTTCACTTTGCCAACTGGAATTTCACCCCCCCTCCCTTTCTTAGTTCTTAGTTCTTTCTTAGTTTTCTGCTGACCATCAGCACAGCAAGTAGGTTTATTCAATAAATAAAAATGAACAATTTACTTTCTGGTTGTTGTGGGTTTTTCAGGCTCTTTGGCCGTGTTCTGAAGGTTGTTCTTCCTAACGTTTCGCCAGTCTCTGTGGCGGGCACAACAATACATCCACAACAAGACACACTAATCACCCATCTACAGAAAAAGACAAAAGCCTATCTCACAGCCATAAATACTGCACTCCCAAGCCAACTATACCAGAGCACAGAGTGCTGTCGTCTGAAGATGCCGGCCGCAGAGACTGGCGAAACGTTAGGAAGAACAACCTTCAGAACACGGCCAAAGAGCCCAAAAAACCCACAGCAACCATTAGATCCCGGCCGTGAAAGCCTTCGCGAATACAATTTTCTTTCTGTTGGGGAAAAAAAAGACGGCAGAAACCTCTCAATCTATTTCTACCCTTTCCACCCTTTCTCTCTCCCCTCTTCCTTGGATCCAAAATTAGTGGTGCTGTGGCCACATCCTGCTGCAATGCCAACTTTTAGGGCACAGAAAGTTGAGTGACTACAGAAACAAATCTCTAAATAACATAGATTTAATGTCTTAATCAATGACTCTGAAGGCCAACCGGATTTATTTCCAGGCTAAAGAACGTACTCTGTTTCCCCAAAAATAAGACCTGATTTGAAAATAAGCCCTAATATGATTTTTCAGGATGGTTGTAATATAAGCCCTACCCCAAAAATAAGCCGCAGCCCTCCTTCCACCATTGGGCAGCAACCAGAAGACGACATGACTGTATTTGAATAAATATAGATGGTTGTACAGGAAAAAAAGGAAGAAAACATCCCCTGAAAATAAGCCCTACTGGATTTTTGGAGCAAAAATTAATCCCATTGCATTTTTAAAATTTTAACATTTTAACCCCACAAATGCCATATTTAACACATCTGTGGGAGGTGCTGCTGAGATGCTCCAGCGCATGATCACTTTGTACACACTCAAGAGATACTCTTGAGGTGGACCCTATTTATATCTTTCTCCAAAGATAGTGTACATCCCTAAGTTAAAAATTTACATGAAAGCAACCAGAATGGGGACACTGTACCTAAGTACAATTCCCTGTATAATAGAAATTAATCTAAATCCAGTTGCTAGTCCCAACAAGAGTAGCACCACTGGATGACTGATGATTACCACTCTTCAGTCCATTGAATGAGTCTACAGTACTCTGCTTGGGACTAGTAACTGGATTTAGGCCAAAGATGTTACTGAAACTTCCAAATAGTACAAACGAAAATGAAAAAGAACAACAACAACAACAACAACAACAACAGCAGCAGCCAGCAGCAGCAACAACAACAACAACAACAACAACAACAACAACAACAACAACAACAAAGAACCAATTAGGTGAATTCCCACTGATTGGAACCTGTCAGTGAGCCTTCTCTCCCGTTTTTTTAACGAGGCCCTCCCAATCTAACTGTCTGCTATAAAAGATGGCGGAAGCTAGCCAACTGGTATAAAGGCAGGATAGTTTTCACAGGAGTCCAATTCAACGAGCACAACAGGAGCTGCTACAGATAAAATGTCTCAGCCTAGTAGCAAACCAGTGAAGTAAAACATCATGCAGACAGGTGAGTTAAGCACCTCTGTGAATTTCGTAATAAGGCAAGGAGGTCAGGGCAGTGAAACTCCTTAATCATTCATAGGTGTCCCAGTGAACAAGCCCAATAAACAAAAATAGTTCTGAAGACAGACTACTGAGTATATTGCCCAATGGGGTATGTTTGATTAGAAGCCATACATGTGTCCTCACTTTAATGAATTCTTGGCTCTCTGGGAACATGCATATTCCCATGAGACGCAAACAGAGAGGAGTCTCTGGGGCCAGGATAGATTTCTCCATATCCAGGCGGCTCCCCTGCTTTCATGGAGTATGAAGTGCTCAGGACAGTCCTGCATCACTGAGGAAGAAGAACACGATAAATTAAAGCAGAGGTGGGCAACCTGGGTATGTGGGCTGGTTTTCTAGGCCCCTCCCGGGCAGAAAAACCAACTATGGGACACAATGTGCCCCAAAATGAAATGTACTTCTGGTTTTCTGCACCTTTAATTTAGTGTTGTTTTTTAAAATTTGATCAGCTGTAAAAGTAAGCGGGAATACCAAATAGGCCTCAGTGGCAAATTTCCACTCATTAATTAGGTGCTGGTTGTGTTCCTGGCCATGTGTCCAACTGCATTATTGGACTGTGTGTGCATTTTGAGGTGAAGGGTGTCCTCCAGAAACACTACCAGTTGTACCTCATTAATAAGTACAAATGTGTTGACATGGCATACACAATTTTCCTTATGCTGGTGTAAATTAGCAATACGATTTTAGCCATTATTAGTAGTAAGAGAGTTACTTTTGTGTGTGTAAGAAATAAAATTTTCTAGTTACTTTCAAAGTTACTTTTTAAGTTAATTCTAAGGCATAATTAGATATCTTGACAATATATTTTCAAGTTCTAATCCATTCTCTTATTAATCTTAAGTAATGGGGAAGTATAGTTTTAGTTTGTTTTTATTTTCATATTTTCACGGCGCAATATCAAATTTTATTTCTCTATGTGTTGTTGTTTTTTTTACTGCCAGTAACGACAGTGCAGTGCATTAATAAATGATAGCAGGATAAATTAGTTTTATGATTGGAGCATGATGACAACAAATGAGTATAGCAACGAGTGCATTTTGAAAAATGCTTCAAGTTCTGCACTGACCCACTAGGCGATGCATCATTACAGCTTCTGTTGCCGCCACCAAAATTCACTTTGACTGCCACTGCAGTTCCCAACACCATTCACCAGTATGGTGCAATTCACCATTGAAGCTGGGCAGCAATTGCAGAATTTTTCTATGGTGCAGGAAAATAGTAGAATGCCCTCCAATACCATGGAGTTCTTCTCGTTTGCAGGGCAGAGCATCTCCTTTCCTTCCGGAAAGGAAGGCAATGAAGACCATTTTTGTAAAGTGGCACTACTGCCACCACTTCTCCGATGTCCAGTTCTGTTACAGGTGTTCATAATACGACTGCCAGGGCAAGAAAGGGGCCATAAAATGAATATGTGGCCCTATTTTGGGGACATTTGGCAGAGCTACTAGGGCCAGGTCAATCCCAATAGGTTAGAACTCAAGCTTGGATCCTAATAATCACCCAAATAGGAAAGTGAGAGTAAAGTGAGATTAAGATCACATACGTGGACTAGAAGATATTCTATATTTTGGCATCTATCTCAATCTTCCCAGCTTTCTGGTTCAGCCCTGCTAATGAGTTCCTGTCATAAGATTGGAGGAATATGCCGCCTGTGACGTGAACTCACAGAATGTTTCTGATTTGAAATGAAACTTTCAGGGAACATGTCGTGCCTTGTCAGTCTGCAGGAAGATACATCTTTTTTTCTTTTTTTGGCCAAAGTTGGGACTGGCATCTTGAGGCTGAGCTGTACTGTATGCATATTACATGGTTTCAGAGTATCAAGTGCAAGAATTCCAGGTTCATAAATGCAGTGACAGGAGGAGAGGTCTTCTAAACATGAAACACATTGTCCAAAAGAACAGCTCCAGATAAACATCACCTAGCAACCAGAGAGGCCGACACTCAGTAACCTTCAGGGAACTGTGGAGAAACACAAAGCCTTTTTGTCCAGATGTCTTTAAGAGCACAGGTTGGAATTGTTTCCTAATTTAGAAGCCAAATTGGGGTCTTAGCTCAAGTAACTTCTGGAAAAACAGGCTTTTTTCTTTTAACTGTGAAATCCCACTCTTTAACTTCTACCCAAAGTTAAATGGGCTGAAATCACATCCTTCACATCACTGATTCAGTAATACCCACTGTTTCTTGTAAAGAGATGGAAGTTACTGAGTCTTCAAGGGGCAAGAATTGAAAGGTTCTTTTTGAGTGTATCTACATAACACAATGTGATATCACTGTCACTGCCATGGTTTCTACCTATGGACTCCTGGGATTCGTAGTTTGTCAGTAGAGCTCTCTGGCAGGGGATTTTATGACCCTTGCTGAACTACAAATACCAGGATGCCTTAGGAGGAACCATGACATTGACAGTGGCCTCAATTTAATGTGAGGGTTCAGTGCCCAATGTCTGTCTAATGTCAGGATGTCCGGCTGCTGGTATCCAGCAACACTGATAGGGTACAGATATAGTAGTATCAATTCCACCACTCACATTATACAGAGCTTTCTTTATCAATAGTCACGTGTTTTACTTCACAGAAAACAAGCTTCTATTTTGGTGGTTTCCAACCTGGGATAACCCAGGTGCTCTTGGACTGCAATTCCCAGAAGGCTTCACCACCAACTGTGCTGACCAGGGTTTCTGGGAACTGCAGTCCAACAACACCGGGGTTACCCAAAGTTTGGAACCACTGTTCTACTTGAAGATGTTCTCTTTTTTTTGAAGGGCTCTCCAAAGCAACTCTGATTCAAAGGTAAAGAACCATAAGAAAAGAGGATAGGGGCCTTCATGTCTCCATCAACTATAACCATTTGGTCAAAATATCCCCCACCACAGTAAGATATGATGGTCAAAATCTTACTGATATGAGTGCAATGACATAAATCTGATATGAGTGCAATGACACAGTGGCAAGTTGTTACTTGTGTTCTTCATTTCAGGGGAATATAATGAGTTTGAAGAAGAAATGAACACGTTGTATTTATCTGTGTCTCCTTTTCCCCCCCAGAAAGAATACTCCTTACAGTCCAGGTGTTATAAAGAAAATGGGGAACATATTATCAATGGTTCAGGTGAGTGTTTGAGATACTATTTAAATAGCGCTGCATCTGCATCATCATATTTAGAAAATATTTTTTTCTGAGATGTTCATGGCTAAAGTTTTCTTGAACTAATAAAGAATGTTGGTTCCCCTACCCCAATCTGGCCTTTACCGATTTTGGCACATGTGAATACAGTATGGAATATAAGGTGCAACTTGAATCCAGTTAACACAAGATGTTCTCTGTGCATAAAAAATGGGAAAAGGAGGAAGTGGCAATGGATGGTATTAGCACTGTCCCCTCAAGAATGGTGTGTACAGCAGCCATAATCCCTGGCTGATGTGTAACTGGCTCAGAATCAAGTCAGGTGATGCAGATAACGTGTTATTAGAAGCTGTCAGTGATTCATCAGAGCTTCATGGAAGAACATTTAGAATCGCAAAATCAAGCCCACATTTACTTTTCAATAGCCAATCACCAAAAGAAAAGAAAAACAAGTTAGGGAAGCAAGAAAGTTTATGTAAGGACATTCAGATACCTTTTCTCGTCTAAGGAATTACCACATGTAATGCAGTGCTGCTTATATTTATTGTTGACTGAACAGAATGGCCAGCCTTCTATATGACTAGGAACCATGATTATGCAGTGCTGCTTATATTTATTGTTGACTCCAAGTCTGAACAGAATGGCCAGCCTTCTACATGACTAGGAACCATGATCAAGTAGGGTTCTCCTCATCCCTGTGGAAAAAATGTTACGGATGTACTAACCATGGACAGAAGTGGATGGATCTGTCAGTTTGTTACTGTTGAAAGTAAAAACAGCAGTTGTGCTAGCACAAGCAACCATGTGCATACTGAGGGTTGCAGAATCAGAAACAGGTAGTTAGATTACCACAGAATGTTCCTTTTCTTCCTCTTGTCTGTTCTATTGCTTTCTTGCCTCCAGACCGGGGCAGCCCTAGCATGAAGCTTAATGAGGCCTTTGTTTCAGGAGGTGGGACATAGCAACCGGCACACCTGCCACTCCCTCCTTCATCAAGCCACTCTAGAGCAGTGGTTCTTAACCTTTGTTACTCGGATGCTTTTGAACAGCAACTCTCAGAAACCCCAGTCAGGACAGCTGGTGGTGAAGGCTTCTGGGAGTTGCAGTCCAAAACTCCTGAGTAACCCAAGGTTGGGGACCACTGATGTAGAGAGCAGCCACAGTTCCACACTCCCCTCTGAAGTAGGCTACACGTGGAGTGCCTGCCTCTGAGTAGTCCTCAAAGCCAGGTCCTATGGGAGGAGTCGCTAAGAGAACTCTTTACCATGCTTTCTAGTCACGACTGCCATGGGATTACCCGAGGGTCCTCAGAAGACCCTCAGAGCTGGGGCACATGGGTGTGCTGATGCTTGCTTTTTGCCTCAGGCAGTAGACCGCTTGGGCCACCCTCAGCAGACTGTTATGCTTCAATTTAATCCATTATTTTCCAAATTCTTTGTCTTAGTCATATAGCGGGAGCCAGTAAACCCCAACCTTTCAGCCTATCACATACATATGGTTCTCAATACATGGTCTCACTTCACTGGCAACCATCTTTGATATTAATTCCATCCTGTCTGTTTCCACTCAAAAGCCAATAGCTTTCTTTTGCATACTGTTTTTTTTTAAGTTTATGTTCTTGCTGTCCTGTTTATGAAAAGGATGAAAACTTTGATACCTGGTATTTAAAAAGTGTATGGAAGTGAGAGCTGGACCATAAAGAAGGCTGACTGCTGAAGAATTGATGCTTTGAATTGTGTTGCTGGAGGAGGCTCTTGCGAGTCCCCTGGACTGCAAGATCAAACTTATCAATTTTGAAGGAAATCAACCCTGAGTGCTCACTGGAAGAACAGATCCTGAAGCTGAGGCTCCGATATTTTGGCTATCTCATGAGAAGAGAAGACTCCCTGGAAAAGACCCTGATGTTGGAGAAGTGTGAAGGCAAGAGGAGAAGGGGATGACAGAGGATGAGATGGTTGGACAGTGTCATTGAAGCTACCAACATGAATTTGACCCAACTCCAGGAGGCAATGGAAGACAGGAGGGCCTGGCCTGCTCTGGTCCATGGGCTCACGAAGAGTTGGACACAACTTAACAACTAAACGACAACAATTTTAAAAAGTGAACCAAACTAAACTCATATCCTTCTGCCTCAGCCAAATTCTACAGTGACAGCTGTTTCTATCATGGAGAGGATGATACTGTACCTTGACTGCTATGAAAGGATGGAAAAAAGCCTGAAAACCTTAATTCAGATTGAAAACGTGGTTAAATATAGATTCAGACATTCCAAAGCTTTCTGCCGGAACATCTGTCAATGATGCCTTCCCTCACATTCAATTAAAAACAAGTTTTTTTCCATCACATTTATGAAAAGATTTGGCAAATTCCTATAAAAAGCATATTAATTTGAATTCTAACTGCTCTCTAATTGCACATCCAGATTGCCTCTTTTGCATGTTGCCCCCATGCCCCATCTCAATGCCTGAAGAGAGCTATTGTTTGATATTTTAATACTGTCAGTGGGCTCATCCTCTACGTTTCTCACTCCTTCCCTCTGGGCCTATTACTTTTTTCACCAAGCGTGGATCCACAGGATAGTTTAATTCAGTGGCCAACATCCTGTTACTTTGTGTGGTAAACCACCCTAGAGTAAGCACATTGAATCAATGGGGATTTAGTGACCCAACTCCTCTGTAAGTTCCATTGGGTCAGATGGACTTACTCTAATGGTTACTATACTAAAGGTCATGTTAAAAGAGAAAGGTTGCCTATCAACTGTATAATAGTAATTGTTTGCCATCAATTTTGACTTATGGTGATCCTTTTTCAGGGTTTTCCAGGGACAGAATACTCAGAACATTATACAAGTCCCTTCTTCTGGGGTACCCTAGGATTCTGTAGCTTTTATGAGCCAACCCACACAGGTTGGCTCATAAAAGGCAAAATGGGAACTCAAACTCCCAACCTCTGGCTCTGCAGCTAGGTACAGTGGTGCCCCGCATGACGATAATCCGTCCCATTGAAATTGCTGTTTAGCGAAATCGTCGTCATGCGAAAACCCTTTCCCCACTGGAATGCATTGAAACCCGCTTTAATGCGTTCCAATGGGGAAAATACCTCGTCATCCAGCAATGATCGCCCATAGGGAAGCCATTTTGCGAGCATCGATCAGTTGTAAAAATGGCTGCCCTGCGAAGCATGGGTCCGGAAAACACAAGGCAGCCATTTTGCAAAGCCGAGGATGATCGGGAAAAAATCGTCATCTTGTGAACAAACGGTTCACAAAGCACGGACCTAATCGACGTCCAGCGAAAATCCCCCATTGGAACGACTGTTTTGCGAATCGCTATAGCGATCACACAAAGTCATTGTTATGTGGATTCATCATTTAGTGGGGTCGTCATCTTGTGAGGTACCACTGTATCTAACTCAGTGAGCTATCCAGCCAGCTTGTGCAAATCATAAATGATATAAAATAAACATAAAAATAAATGTTCTTAGGTTCTATGGGACTGATGTAGTCAGGGCAAGGAAAAGCTATTTTTTTAGACTCTGAAACGTGGAATCTCCTACCAGCCTGACCTTCTGAAAGATTCTGGGAATGGTAGCACAAGAAATAAATTCTCCACTATCTGCCTGTCAGAATCACAATAGAATTTGCAGTAAGAAATCATCACAGAGGCTTCCAAATCTGAAAGAGCTGGCCGCAATGAGCATTGAGAAATGACCATTTCTGAACAAATTTGTACCGGACACAAACCTCTCCTCATCATTTGGCAGAGGACTTGGCTATCCTGTGATAAAAGAGCTCCTCCACCACGTCTTATGTTCTGAGGATACACTTCCTATTGCCACAACTTTCAAGAGCTCAGATAAAACCAAGGCCATTTCACATTGCCTGGGAAGAGGGGTAAAAATATTCTAATGCAATAAAGGACACATAAATTTGTTTCAAAAAGAATTCATGGGATGCTTTAATTCACAGCAATACACATAAGGGGAGGCCTGGGCCCAATGGACCTGCTGCCCTCCCTCTACAGACTTGCCTACTGCCATCATTTATAAGTACTGTAGTGGATCTCACCTCAGCCCTATCAGTGCATGATCCAAGAGTGTTTCCAGATTATGGTGATACAGTGGGGTCTTGACTTGAGAACTTAATCCGTATTGGAAGGCGGTTCTCAAGTCAAAAAGTTCTCAGGTCAAATCTGCATTTCCCATAGGAATGCATTGAAAACCATTTGATCCGTATCTGCTCTTTTCCGTCCATAGAAACTAATGGGAAGCTGCTATTCCACCTTCGACCACTAGAGGGGGATATTTTGTTTCTTTTTTTCTTAGGTCAAGAAAGGTTCAGGGAAGGCAGGGAAAATACAGTCCAGGCAGTACAAGTACCAGGCAGTCCGAAGACTGTCTCCCAATCCACTCTCTAAACGCTGGGAGGAGCGAGGAAGCAGACAGGCTCCCTTTTCACTGGCCAACAGTTAACTGAAAGTTCCCATTTTGCACTTTCCTTGCCTCCCACGTGGGTATTTTTCAGTTCTTAACTCAAATCTAAGTATGTAAGTCAAGTCAATATTTTCCTATGAGAGTGGTTCTTAAGTCAAAATGTTGTTAGCTCGAGCCGTTCTTAAGTCAAGACCCCACTGTACTGTGTACTCACACTGCCTTATTCCAAACCTTGCTAGACAGAGCCAGATGACATTGTTATTTTGGTTAATTCAATGTTTCCCCACTCCTATTCCATCTTTGGGTGCAGCTTCGTTAGTGGCAGGAGGCGAATTAATGTGGGCCACTTTGGAAAGGTCAGGCTAGATTAGAGTGATCTGATCCAGCCCAGTGTTTCACACAGAAATCGATCCCGCAGTCTATCTTTGCTTTCCCTTAAAGGGCAGGTCAAGAGACTGCCTGCAGCTGAAGCCACTGTCATGGATTTGATGGAAGGCGGTTTCTTGAGTGGTTTCTTTAAGTGGTTTCTTTAAGACAAGGCAAACAACGAAAAT